GAAAAAGAAAAATTATTCGAAAAAGAAAACTCAAACTCCTCAAACGTGATGTAAAATTCCTCAGAGCAAATAGTCTACGTTATAAGCGACGATTCGGTAGAGATATTGCAAATGACCTTGCTATAAGTACACAAATATTACCATTTTTTCAAGAACAGTAAGATGTATCCTACCTAGTCCCAAATGGTCTTAGTTTGCGTGTAGCTGCTCAGAAATTTGAGAAGAGGTAAAAAAAGGAAAAAGAAGATAGCTTGAAACGCACAATTGAAATGTAACAGTGGGATGTTCAGACCTGGAGAAAAGTGCTCTTTATAGATAGGTCTAAGTGTGAGCTGTCTGGCAATAACCAAAGGCAGTTTGATCAAAGGTGGACTGTGGGAATTGTATAACAGTCAATTTACAACAGCTATAGTAAAGCATAGTGTTGATCAATACCATTGTGGGGCTGTGTCTCAGCCTAAGGTTTCGAGGACTTACATAACATCGAAGGTATCCTGACTGCCGACACATACAGGTAGGCTCAGATCCACCATGTCGTTCCCTCAGGAACGTGTTGCATTGGGCAGCATTTCATCTTTTAGTATAACAATAATCCCCAGTATATAGTGAAAACATATCTGGAGCGTAAAGAGGCTGATGGAACACTCACAACAATGTTGTAGTCTTCACAAAATTCTCGAGGTCATATGAGGTTACATGGCTGCTGAGAATATTATACGGCAATTAAACTTGGATGAATTGTGGAAAGTGTTACAGAATATTTGGAGCAACATTCCCCAGTCCTTCATTTATAATCTGTCTGGGAGCGTGAAAGCGCGCTGTCGAGCTCTATATAAAGCAACTGGCTCATATGCCAATTATTAATGTTTTGAACAAAACATTTACTTATCTTCTGTCATAATGCATTATGCTTCTGTTTGTGCAGGTTTTCTGAATATAATTTGTATTATATATCCCCTGTTTTCATATTTATTTCCAATACTGTACCGCTGTGCCTTTGTTTGTCTAGCCCCTCCCGTAGTTTTGGAACTAGTAAGACCAAATTTGGTGTGGAGCCCGTGAATGTCTTTACTTATATGGAGTAGCTCATTACAAAGTGTACACCAACGAGGGATAAGCGCCCCTTTGAAGGTCATTCAGGGATGAAGGGAGTCTTATTGTACGTTTTCGGGGTCGTTCAACCCGAATATAGCCTCGAAGTTTGTGTTCCTGGCCCCATCAGGATCTCGGTAGTGCCATATTTGAAACTGTATTCACACCCTCTCTCACAAGCTAGCGAGATTATACTTGACACACACACTCAGGTACCACGAGCAGATGTACTAAGCGGTATATGTAGCCCCTTGGGGTAAATATAAAAGTAATTGGAGATAATGGAAGAGCTTTATTGATACATTAGGACCTCTGTGAATCCTTGAGAGCCTTTGAACCTAGCAGGAGAGC